CACCCAGAAGCATAATGCAGGCCTGAAACTACTGTTAATAAAATCAAAGCAGGACAAAAACCCTTGCTTTCTAGTTTTTCGGCTGGTTTTTTTTTACGTGGTACTAGCCTATATGAAGATGGTGTGTTTTAAATATGTTGTTTAGTCACACTTCTGTAGTCAATGAAGCTGGGGAAAACTCTGTGCAAGTCGTCAGTGAGCACCCAGAAGCATAATGCAGGCCTGAAACTACTGTTAATAAAATCAAAGCAGGACAAAAACCCTTGCTTTCTAGTTTTTCGGCTGGTTTTTTTTTACACCCCCGTCAGGTGATGGCATATTTTTCTTCTGTTTTGCTTCAGAAAAGGATATATTCCTGTGGACCCCAGCCAACACATGGATGTGTGCTGATCTGCACATTCTCTGGGCCTTTGTCATTTGATGACATTTTCTTATTGGCATTTATTCTTATTTTTTGCTGATCACTCTGTGCCTTAGTGCTGTTACTGTTCAGTTTTCTGGGGATACCAGCTATTCCAACATTCTGCTTTTTCTATTTTTTAAAATTTTATTTTACATGCAGTCAACTTTGCACTGTAGCACAAGAGTAAAACCTAAAAATAAAAATAAGTAAAAATGTGAAGTGGGTGAGTAAACACAAGGAGTGAAAGGAAGAGACAGCAAAATAAGCAAGGAGAGGTGGAGAAAATATAATTTTTTTCTGCATTCTTTTTATAAAAAATATTTTAATCACTTTTGCATTGTGGCACAAGAGTGAAAACTGAAACAAACAAGCAGGCAGGCAGGCATTGTGGTGAAAACACGGAAGACTGAAAATGGTGGGCTGGTAAAACAAGGAAGGATGGGATGAAAGAGTGAAGAAAGTGGGGGCAAGGCTGAGAAAAGAGGTGAAGGGTGGCAGCAGTTTATGCTGGGAGATGGAGCAATTCTGGATGTGTTTGGATAGGCAGTGCAGGGAAAACCCATTGCATCTTAGTACATCCAGCAACAAACAGCATCCCCATGTGTCAGTGTCAATGCTGGGATGACCTACAGAAAAACAACAGATATCAGAACAACCCCAGAATGACTACAGACAACACCTCAGTGTGGATGAACCTATGATGAAAGCAGCCCTACTATGATATGTACCCGGGATCTTGAAATTTAGCATAATGAAAGTGCTTCACCCACCCCGTTTGGGCCACAAGTTGTGTCATGTACCTGGATTCTTGGTTACCCAAAAGTTCAATATCCATTGACATATTAAATCCCTTCCAAAGTGTGGCCAAGGGTCAGGTCTACCTTGCTCATAAGGATTTAGCAGTAATACGTACAATACTTTTACCACAGCAGATTCAATAGGTTATGCAGGGTCACATGTTGGGACAACATGCTGTGGTCCACTCATTTATCCCTGTAGGTGGTTAGGGTAAGATATACTGTATTACCTACTGGCGTCCAAATCTGTTAAAAAACCCCGGCAAGAACAAAATGTTCCTTTATGTGATTCATTAACACAAACCTAAGCTCGTATTAGTGTACCAAAATAGTATGTTTACACAGGGTTAGCTGGACAGCAAAACAATTCTGTTTAGATAAAATTAAACCAAGATGTGAGCCTCTAACAAATATCTTGCATAGCCCATGTCTGCATTTTGTATAATGACATAATTATCTGGACTCATTTGCAAAGGAAAGTGTTCTGAGTGAGCCAACAGTTGTTGCTGCCAATATTTTGTTTTGCTATTATTCTTGTGTTCAGCAGTAAGACAACAAACAAACAAACAAAATCTCTTAGGTGATGATGATTGGAATAAATGGAATTGTATATATGCTGTATTACTTTTCCACAGCATCAAATACAGGTAACTGGAAAGTCAAAGTGAATGTTAGTAAAGTGAATGTTGTTCACTTTACCAAACTTGGCATAAAATGGAAAGAAATTCATTGAGCCAATCTAAGGACAATATCAGTCAAGGCAAGGTTTGTTTAAAGAAATGAACAATTTACAGAAAGCATACAGAGATGGGACAAAAGAGATAAACTTTTGTTCCACATGATTTTCCCAGTTCAGCCTCTAATCCCCCTCCTGTTATTATTTGTCCATGGGACAAAACTTTGCCCCCAATAGAGGAAAAACTCCCAGCAGGCAATTCGGATGAAGAAAATGGCATTGGGGAAGAAGAGCTGACTTCCCTCCACATTTCTGTTGCCCTAACGCAAATGCCCCCTCGCCTTTCTGGCATCAGCTCTGCTGTTTAAAGGAGGAGGGGACTGATGTGGACAATCCGAACCCACAAGCGTGCAAACCATAGAATTCCCATTGTCACATCTAGTTTTGGACCTCAGATCACTCCAGGACACCCTGGATCTGCTGAAAACACCATAGTACCTAAGGCTTAAAATTCTTCTAATTCATTTATTTTCTAAAGGAAAAACTAAACAAACTAACGACAAATGGATGCTCTGAAGTTTATCACCTAAGTGCCAAGTTCACCTTTTTTAAAAAAAAAACTATGTCTGGATTTGCAGCTGAAACCAATAAAATTTCGGAGTGTAGGCTTGACTCCAACTGTTTCGATATAAAATCTGAAACCACTGATGATCCTCAGAATATATACCAACTTTAAAAGCAATAGTGAGGAACTTGTGATTTGCCAGATGTTGTTTGACCACAATTTCCAACATCTCTGACCCCTGGCTGGGAATCTTGAGAGCTGGGATCTAGCAAAATCTGGAGGACCACCTCATTTAAGGCAACTACCCAGTGAGGGTCAGTAGTGAGATACAGGCATTAAGGAGGGGGTTCGCTGTGTCACTTTTTCATATTAAAAAACCCCCACTCCCACACAACATTATGCCATTACTGTAGTCTTGATTTGGGCCCATTATTTTCTTGAACAGAGCTAAAAGCAGCTTCTACGATATGGGAAAGATACAGTCTAGAAAAACACACGGGAGAAAGGGTTAAGTGTCCTCTTCCCTGGTGCTGCTGCTCTGATTAGAGGTTGAACTCTTACAGCTTCAAAGTTTTACAAAGCCAGGCTATTTGAATCACATCATATATTTTGCCCCTCATGTAGCATGGAAAGGCAAGTTGCTGGATCCACTGCTTCATTGTCATAGCATTATATATAGTGCATATATTGACCTTCCAAGCATATAATATTCACAATTGTTTTACTAGTCTGTTATTTCAAAGCTTCACTGGGATTTGCCCAGTAATGCACATGCTGGCCCTCTGCCTGGAAGATTCGACGATGATTCGAACTCCTGACCCCTGCACCAACCCACTAAGCTATCCAGCCAGCATATCTTCTTATACAAGATAGGAAAACAGTGTTCTGATTAAGAAACATCCCTTAATGTCAGCATCCTCTTTTTCTTTTATTTTACTATACAGTACTTCCCTTTTATATACAGCAGCAAAAAGACTGCTGACATTAACACACTCCTTAGCAGTGCCAGGGGCCTTGTATGCAACTGGAGCTCAAATACTATATACTTCTATCATCAATACACTAAGGGGAAAATGTAGGACTATACTTATTAGCTTTTCAAATATTTGTCATGATACTCTCTTAACCAGGTTATACTTGCCAGATCAGTGTCTTTTTTCCAATCAGGATCCACAAGACATTTACTCAGAAGGCGCCACCCTAATTTCAATGGTGCCTAAATCTGTCTAGTCAATTTAAACAGCAACTTTGTACTGTACTAAGGAGTACACCAACATACTTCTTAGAAAACACATTTACATTTTTGAAACCAATTTTGTTAGACTGAAGGAGTCTTCCAAGAACAGGATGCAGTCTTGCAGTCGAAACTACCTCTAAATCCACACATGTTTAGTACTGACAGGTGCTAAAGAAGTAAATAAATTCATGTTTTAAAAACAACCAACAAGCAGAGTGTTTCATTTCCCCCAAATACTTTTGAGTGTGTTTATGTACACTTTATAATGGTTTCAAATATTCCCAGTCATATTACACATCTGGTTTGGCAGCTGGATTAATACCGATCTAGTCTGGTTACTTTGCAATTCCCAGGGCCCTTCCAAAGCCTCAGACCACCTCCATATCCTAGGGGCCAACCATGAGCCACTTTCTTTCCCATATTGACTTCTCTGCCTTAGAAGTAGAAGAGGAGGAGGAGGAGGAGGACTTGTAACAGTATGTTTTTTACCTCCTAGTCTTGGCCTGCCCTTCCCAGTAGTAAAAGCTATGGATGCCACCCAGCCCTATTGGGCTCCCCTGGGTCAATGTTAAGAGCAGAGCAACTTCTGGGACCCAAATCACCACTATGGACCTGCTTTTTGAGATAGCAAGGAGCTGCCCAGTTGCTGCAGAGCCCTGGTCTTCAATCCGGTGGTGTGGAACTTTGCTGTGGGCTGCACAGCCACCTCCTTCCAGAGATACCATCTGTCTTATCATTGGGGCTTCCACCATTCATCTGTCCCCTGACCCACCAAGTCCTCCCTGGGCTCCCTTTGGAGAAATAGACCAAGACATTCCCTCTGGCTCCTCTGTTGGGTGATTCCTGATTCCAGCAGCCTTGTTGCAGGACTTGGGGATGGAATCTTGTACAGGTTCTTCTATGGGAAAGGCAGAATCCAGCATGCCCTGCCCCTTTTGCTTTCCCGTCTCTCTAGCCAAGGAAAGCAGCCGGCTGGGAACAGAGAATGAACCAGCAAGGTTGTGTCAATGGTACAAGGAAGGAAGAGAATTTAATTTCCTGGCAGGCTCATTTTAAGTTGCAGAAATCCTTGGACTGATGCCTGTTTGAAGCTGACTAAGTTGAAAACCCATACACAATATGAACTGTACTGTGTGGAGGACCTTGGTCACTGTTCCCCCCACACGGACCCTGTATTCAACATGAGCAGAGGGGCAGCTCAGCCACCTAGCACAAGAAAAAAAAAGGGGGGGGAGAAAGAATGGCATGTGCAGTGTGGAGCAAACAAGAAAGAGGAGAAAGTCAAAAGAAGTAGAATTTTGCAGATCTCCCTTGCCACTTACAGAGGGGCTTGAATTCAGCAGGTAACACGCTCACCATCATAACCCCTCCCCCATCAATTGGGAACAGCACACAAGAGTCGAGAAGAAGCCATGGCCGTGAAGTTTTACTACATTCTCCAAGCCATGAGGTCTCCAAGCCACATGGGAAGAAATTAGAGGGAAGGACCTTCCAGCATTTGCTGGATGCCTCCCACATCCTTAAGACTCAGTCGCCATGGCCACAACTAAGGGTAGCCAGTAGCTACTAGCCACACATTTGGGGTCAGGCGGAGGCTAGGAAAGGATGGGTGAAGGCTCAGCCCTGCCCCCACCTGCTTTCAACATTAAGCCTTGGAAGGACAGCTCTGAATTGGAACTCACAGCTGGACATAGTTGTAGTCACCTATATAGGACTTCAGCTGTTCCTCCGTCCCACAGGTGCGGGCAATTCCATTGAAAA